CCCGGTCGCCAGGAAAGGGCGGAGCCAGCGGCCCCCGCCCGGCTCCGCCCCCTCTGGCTCGCATCCCTCCCCCACCTCTGCTAAGCCCCCAACTCAGTCCCCACCCCTTTGGAGGGGGGGCCGCGCCAGCTTTCTTCCCCAAGATCCCCCCGCTCTGGGGCTCTGGGAGACGCGGAGGGGCAATCGCGGAACGCCTCAGAAGTGTCCGCTGGGGTGGGGAACTGGGAAGTTGATACGGTATTTCTCCCAGCCTAAAGCAGCTGCATTTAGGGGGGAGGGAAGGGGACTGAGCCCGGGAAAGGTTGCCGTCCAGGTCATCCTAGCCAGTCGGGGTCTCAGAGGTCCCTCCTCACGGCGCACGTGCCTGTGGGAGTGTGCAATGTCACCTGGGGTAAATCAGGTGAAACCCACTCTAAACCCCAAGAAGAAAAGGGAAGGGACCCCAAAAAGACCCAACGCGGGACCTCGAGAAGGTGAAGTCAAGAGTCAGAGAAAAGAGAAGGTGTCGCCCAAAAAGCGGGAGAAGGGGGACCGGGGAGCGGAGATGCCGATTTCCGGCAGCGACCACAGGGTGGCGCAAGAAGCCAGCGCGCAAAGGTGTGAGCTCCGCCCGGGTTGGGTGGGGGCGCGGCCCGCGGCGCCCACCGCCCTGTGCCTCCGACCCCAGCATCAGCCCCCGGCCCAGGCTAGCCAGCGCTGGCCCCCAGGCCGGGTAGGTCCAAGTTGGACGGGCATCGATCGCCACCCCGACAAGAGCATCGATTTCTGCACGGAGAAATTAATAGATCTTCTCTTAGCTCCTTGGACGCGGGAGCGGCCGGCGGGTGGAGCTGGGACCCGTCGGCCTTAGGAGGCCGCACACCTGGAAAGCCCCTGGATCCCCAGCACCCAGGGCGTCACAGGGCATGTCCCAGCCCTCACACCCCGTCGGCCTTCGTGGCCGCAAGAGCCAGGAAAAGGAGGAGGATGAGAGGGACGCGGGGGCGGGGGGGTGGTGCAGACAAGGGCTCCCGGGAAAGAGCAGCGCGCAGCTCTCTTCTCCAGAACCCGGCACAGACCGCACCCCCACCCCCCTCCCAATTCCCTGAGGCACAGACGCACAGACAAACCAGGCCAACCCAGCAGCCTGAATTCAAGGAGTCAAGGACAGAGGCGGGGCCCACAGGGCGATTGCTCTCTCCAAGGGGATAGTGGTCGGGACCACGGACTTGGCTGGGACGGAGGCCTCCAGGGATGCTGGGGGCGGGGAGAGGCCAAGGACTTCAATATGAAGGAGACACAATTCACGTTCCCGCCAGGTTTCAACAAGCTCGCTCAGCCAGGGCATGGCTGCCAGCAGTCCCCCCGCAGGTGTCCGTGCTTGATGGCAGGACCTGGAACCCCGCTGCCGGCTGTGCGCCTCGGGTGGTGCAGCCCAGCTAGAGAGAAGTCCACAGGGCAGCGCCAGGGAACTCAGTGCTTGGCCTACCCATCCACCCCCCGCCCCCGCCCCCGTATTGTGGCCTTATTTCCCCAACAGACCTGTCCCCCATCGCACCCCTCAGTCCTC